TCAGATGAAATTATTAAATTAGACAACAAGACATTATCAGATCAACTAGAACAATTTATTGTTGAAGTAAGAAAATCAAATGGTTAAGAGTATAAAGCAACATCGCTTTATACTGGATTTTGTGCTTTAGCATGAGGAATTTCTGAAATGTTTGAAAAGACATAGGTTATTAACTTGCTTGATAAACATCAATTCAAAAGTTTATATAGAACACTTGATGGCCATATGAAATCACTTGTCAATAATGGTGATAAAAATCGTAAGCAATCTAGTCTATTAGAGATTAACAAAATTAAGTTTATACTTAATTTATCTGCTGTGGCTGTTGATAATCCGAAGGCCTTATACAAAGAGTTTGGATCTGGTTAACCTTATTATACTGCTTAAGAGATGGAGATGCAAAATGGTTAAAAGCATCTTGGATTAAAGAACTTGACGATGCTGGCATGCAGCTTGAATTACCTAAAGAAAAGAACTATGCAGAGGGATCAAAGATCTATATGCCGAATTTGAAAAAAGTTTAATACCACCTGATATTCCAGGAAATGCTTATACATCAGTCGCAGATATTCAAAGATACTTATCCAAACAACCAAAATAATGTTGATAACAATTATTTTTTTGTTTCTATTAATGCACCTAAAAACATATATCATGGTGATTAGTATTTAACATCAAAATTGAGAAAAGAATTACATGACACTATGATGAAAAGCATTTGTAAAGATGCTAAACTAGATTTTAAAGGTCGTTGTATTATAATCATTTTATATGATCTACAGATATTCATAATCTTGTAGAATTAGGTGTTACATTGGATGAACAAATGATCTTTTCTCAGCACAAAACTATTGCAGGAGTTTCAGCTTATCAATATCAATCATTAAAATAAAAATAAAATAATGTTTCTCTTTTAATTCTAGTTAAAGAAGCAGGTAAAACAGTATTATTATATATAGTAGTGATTTATAATTTATTTATACAGTTTTTTATTTTTTTTTAGAACCCAACTCTCATATAGCATTAAAGGATTTAACTGTAAATTATATTAATAATGGATTTTCTAAAGCATCTGATTTACTTTCCAGTAAATTTAGCAAAGCTAAAATGGATGATGAACTTGAAGCTATTGATAGCAAGTTCAAAGCTAAAGATAAATCTAAAGCTGAATCTAACGATGAAGCTAATTCTGATGTGAAGTATAAGAAAGCGAAGATTCCTAATATTATGATTAAAAATTGCAATAATATAAGCATTAATATTAGTTTAATGCCGTAAGTTAAAATACTGAATAATTAATGCTTAATAGTATATGTAATTGACAATGTAATTGAAATTAAATAAATTCACGATTATTGCTTTGTCTATAACAATTTAATTAATTATGCGATTTAAAATTTTGTTCAGTTTGACAATTTTAAGTTTTATAAGGTTTTTTTCTAATTGCAGAAAATTATAAAATTCCCAGTCATTAATATGAAACCGGGAATCTTCCATAGGAAGATTCCTGGTCACAATATGATCATTAGAAATAAAGTTTATCACATACAAAAAATTATGATGAAGGTAGTTATGAGTGACACTTAGTGCGACAGGGGATTATAGTTATTATCATTAAAATTAAGAATCAAGTTATATGAGCTATTGGCTGTTTATGAAATAAACTTGTTTGTAAATTAATTGTCTGTAAAATAAGCTTGTCAGTGAAATAAGTATAATAAAATGTGATGCCTTTAAAGTGGTTGTTGATATGGATAATTTCTTCGTGATAACAATTTTCGAAGTCACAATAAGTTGGAGAGCTTATCAAATGCAAGTTTGAAGACTTTATAAAATTACAAATTTGATTTGTCATCTCAACTTTGTTAGATGCAGGTATTTTTTTGAAATGTAATTACATGTGATTGTTAAAATTAAATTAT